GTGGATTCGCCGTCACCCTGCTAAATACTGTCTCCGCTCAGAATGTCCAAGAGCCAGCTGACAGGAGTTGATCCATGTATGAAGCTGCCAAGGCTTCTGTGGAGTTCAGGCAATCTCTAACACAGTTATTCTTTTCTTACTGCCTTTCTTCCTTTGTTTTTTTTTCAAGAGTCATGTCTTTGAGTAATTCAAGCTGGCCTCAAATCTACTGTGTACCCCCAAATGACCTTGAGCTTCTGATCCTCTGGCCTCTACCACCCCAGTGCTGGGATCACAGGTGAGCAGCACCATGGCTGGTTTGCACAGCACTGGGTACCAAACCAGGGCATTTTTCAAGCTAGGCAAAGCTACCAGTTGAGCTACATTTCCAGTGTCAGATTTATTCTTTTCAACAATTTTACTTGATGTTGTTTTTAGTTGACATATAAGGATTGTATTATTAATGGGGGTGCAGCATGATAATCCGAGGCATGTATGCAACATCTAATAACTGAATCGAGCTTAGCAACTTTTCTTGCTTCTTAGAAACACTTACCATCTCCTTGTGTTGGGACATTTCACACGCTGTCTCTCAGCATTTATAAAGTACATAATAGCTTGTTATGGACTTGGATTTATTCCCTTTCAAGAGACCAACAGTTCTCTGTTCTAAGTGCTGGTCCATAGGGATGAGAAGTACCCTGAAACAAGTCACTGGTGCTCACCACTTTCTGTTCAGATGCTCAGGTCATACTATGCTATGTGTCTCAAGTTCACACTGTAACATGCCCAAACACTTCTGGTCCACCAACGGTTGTGAGTCAAACTATGCTCATTATTATAACTACTTACTTAATAATGTACCTAAACTGATAAATGTAATTGCAACACAAAATTCACTTTCTCTCAGAACTGTGCTGAATTCTTTAGAAAGAGTCCGCAAAAAAATACAAGCCAGTGAATAGTTCCCTGACAGATGGAGGTGATGTCACTGTCAACATTGGGATGAAGAAGGTCAGAGAACGTGGGAGAATTTTGCATTCAGGCTTCTTCACACATGATTTAGAATTCTGATCCTCTTTATGATAGTGTACTCCTATAGTCCCAGAATATAGGAGGCTGCATTTGAGGCTGACGTGGGTTCCATAGTGAGACTGTAGCAAAACACCACAATGGAAATAGTATATAGGAGACAGCCTAGTAAATTGTGTTAGGAGAGAGAGTCAACATGGACATGGCTAGATTTTTGGATTAAGATGTTTGACCCTGCTAACAATGGTGAAAAGAAGAGACTTCTGGTGTTCCCACTGTGCCCTCAAGTAATCTGGGGCATGGAGAGGTGTTAAGTGATTATCTCCTGTCGTGTGCCTGATTGGTCAGTAGTGAAGCTGTACATAAAATCAGCTGTCTGGCTTCAGAGTCAATGAAGACTTCAAATGGTCAGACTTCAAGTGGAAGCAACTGTTCAGCACAGGTTCCGAAGCATTGACCAGGTCCAGGTAGTGAACATGGGGATGTGTACAGAGATATGCTATTAGGGATTCAGGATGCTCATAGTTTCCATCTTCTTCCACATCCTCCTGAGCCTAAAATTATATTTTCATCCAGAAAGAAAGGTAACTGTGTCTGCTGGGAGAGGATGCAAAGAATTTCTGTGAGCTATGTCTGTATGCAAGTATGTGTGCATCTCTCTGTCCCTGTGCCTGTCTCTCTCTGCCTCTGTCTCTCTGTCTCTGTCCCTCTCTCTCTCTCTCTCTCTCTCTCTCTCTCTCTCTCTCTCTCTCTCTCTCTCTCTCTCTCTCTCTCTGTGTGTGTGTGTGTGTGTGTGTGTGTATGTAGGCCAGAGGTCAGTCCTAGGGGTCATTCTTCAGAAGACATCCACCTTGCGTTTTGAGACAGGGTCACTCATTGGCCTGGAGGTGGCTGATTAGTCTAGGCTAGCTAGTCAGGGATCCCCAGGGAGTCCTCTGTCTCTACCTCTTCTATCTGCTGCATTTTGGCAAGCTTGCCAGTATGTGGTCAATATCTCAGCCAGAGCAATTACCAAGCCTGGCTGAGCTTGCAGCTGCTTTCACTTGTCTCTCTCAAGTTCCACAATCCATCAATAAAGTTCCCGGGAAGCCTCTGCCTGGTTGGGGTCAGCTGAAAATCTAGATGTCTAGTGAAATGTTCTAGGTACAGAGCATGGACAGAGATGGAGCTCAAAAGGAGTCACCTTGTCCTTTGCTAACTGACAAAATAGCAACTGTGGCCATGTAATGAGTACCTGATAGGTGACTATTGCTCCATGAGCTTGCTGGAACTGTATTAGTTAGATCAGGTGACCTGGGAGGAAACAAGGCCGGCTGACATCTAGGGAACAGCTGGTATTCTACTGAGAAAATGGCAGCGGCCCAGGCTCCGAGTTCCAGTTGGGACTAAAAGACCTTTCCCAGGGCCTGTGCTCCTCACTGAAGCGGGTACCTCAGAGTCCTAGAAGATGTCTAAGACTGAGATCCAAGAGCAGGACCTGGAGCAGGGGAGAGAAAACCATCTCTACATTACAATAACTCACTTTGTCATTTGTCATAGCTTCCTCACAGACGTGTTGGGAACTAGTGACGCATGAAGATAGGCGTATAGGAAAATGTCACTGTCATGCATACTATTACTTTGTATGCTAACTAAAACAAGAATTAGTGTGTGTGTGTGTGTGTGTGTGTGTGTGTGTGTGTGTGTGTGTGTGTGAGCATGCGTACGAGTAGACCAAAATAGAATGCTGAATTCCCTCCTAAATCCTCTCAGAGTTGTTTTTGAGATAGGGTCTCTCACTGAGTGTGGAGCTTGCTGTTTTCAACTAGGCTGACCAGCAAGCTCCTAGGAGTTACTTGTATTTGTTTTTTGTTACAACCCTTTGTTGCACATACATGTGTTGGTAGCTGGCTTTTAAATGGGTACCAGAAAGTTGAACTTATGTCTTCTTGCCTTCACAGCAAGTATCTCACCGGAGTTATTTCTTCAGTGTCTTAGGATTTCTGTTGCTGTGATGAAACACCATGTCCAAAGAAACCTGGAGAGGAAAGGGTTTATTTAGTTTATGGTTCCATGTCACTGTTTATCACTGGAGAAGTCAGAGCAGGAACTCCAACAGGACAGGAACCTGGAGGCAGGAGCTAATGCAGAGGCCATGGAGGAGGGCTGCTTAACTGGCTTGCTCAGCCTGCTTTCTTACTTACCCCAGGACCATGAGCTCAGAGGTGGCACTGCCCACACTGATCTAGACCCTCCCATGTCAATTATCAATTAAGAAAATACCCTACAAACTTGCCTATAGGCCAATCCTCTGGAGACATTTTCCTCAACTAAAATTCTCTCTTCCCAGATCACCCTTAGCTCATGTCAAGTTGATATAGAAACAAGCCAGTACACCTGTCCTCCAAATAATTTTAAAAACCATGAATACATGATGGAAAAAAACACAGAAAGAAATGTTGGGAACCATGGAAAAACAGAAGAAACATTTCACCAAATCTCTTAGAATTTATTAACATGCTAGTATATTTTTCAGCCCTTTTACTCTTCAGACATTTTTCTTTAAGATGAGATAATATACGTACACATGTGAAAATTGCCTGCAGTATCTTCTTTTTGTTGCTGTTTTTCATATCTATGTGATACTCTGACCCGGGAGAAATGATGTGTTGGACAGATGACTCTGCAGTTAGGAGTGCTTGTTGACATTTCAGAGGATGTAAGTTGGTTCCCAGCATCCAGAGATGTCTCACAACTACCTGTAGTCCAGCTCCAGAGTGTCTGACCCGCCTCTTCTAGCCTCCATGAGAATCTTCATATACCCACACCCATGCACATATATGTATAAATAAAAATATGTTTAAACAGAATGATATGGGGAAATGAGAGGATTCAGTTTTTACCAATCTGGGATCAAATTACAGTCCTGCTATTCCTGGCGATCTTTTATCTCAGTGGCTGCAGTCATACGTCCTCCTCAGATCTCAATCTTAGGCTCACCCCCCCCCCCCGTCTCACTCCAATCTCCCTCTCCTTCTGGTAGATAAGAGAAGAATTTATTCCTGTGTGTGTTGGGGAAATTTTAAGAAAATTAATTGCAGGCCTTTAGCATGGTGTCTCATAAATGATGACTTTCGTCATTGCTTTGAATTGCTGATTCCTACTCGCAAACATATTGACTGTCAGGTACTTGATGCTCTCACACTGTCCACTTCCTCTGCAGATTAATCTTTGTGCCTCTCCACAATCGTGTGTTGATGAGAAATGGCCATCAGAGATACACACAGTTCAGAAGCTTGTCGCATAGACTTTCAAGCTGTTCTCTGAGTTGTGTACTGATTTGCGATGCTTTTTATGACCCCTTGAAGAAAATTAGTTATGGCATCACAAGCTATGGTCCAGCAAGCAAGGAGTGCTTGACACTTGTAGATCACCCCTAGGATCTATTATGGAAAGACACCCCAACTAAGAATGGTTGCTGCTAGGGCAGTAGACTACTACAACACCTTTTAATTAGCAAATGAAAATTAACAATGTAAATGAGTTCTCTAATTTTGGCTCTGCATTCGGGTCCCAGGATCCAGATGTCTGGAATCTGGTGCCTGGAATCCAGTGCCGACTGATGCACATTCAGCCTGTGGATTCCATCTGACCAATATAAGTGAGTAGGTGCTGGGTGAAAGAGGAGCGAGGGCTCTGTCCTTGCCTGCCTGGAAGGGCTTGAGGTCTTTGGCTCACACAGGTCAACACAGCTCAGGGCTCTGGAGACAGGCTGGAAGAGTCTGAAAATCGGTGAGTGTGGAGTCACAGGCCTTCACAGGGTCCTCTGCTCTTTTGAATATTTACACACATTGGGGCCAAGGCTTCTTATCAAACTCTGGAACCCTGGGAGAAAGCCCACTGCTACAGACAGCCTCTTAATGTTGCCACCTTACAAACGTACAGGACAAAAGAAAACTAAACCAGGGCCAGAGGACAGGAGAGTAACACACACACACTCATAACAAACATACTACATGCTCTAAAAAGATATTTATTAAGCAATCGTTGGTCATTATACACCAGGAAAGGGATTGCAAATTCTGTGAGACAGGTATATGAGAGATACAGTGAAGTCGTAGTTAACATGTACAAAAACCTTGCAAGAAAGAAACCGCAATCCCCTAGTGACACTTCTGACACACTATGATGACACACATGGACCAAGTACAGTAGTGCCTAGGAGAATACATGCTAAGGATGGTGCTACAGTGTCTAGTGACACTCACAGAAACAAAAGTGTTTTGGTACATTAGATGCACAACACTAAATGCGAAGAATATAAATATTTTGTGGATTGAGATACATATGTGTTTCCCCTGGTGCTGTCTGTGTCTGGCGAGGAAGAGGAGCCTAGAGAGGACACTTGTGAATATTTTGGCGAAATTTCTGGCCATGGTCATGGGGAATGTTTTCTGAAGTTACAGGGTTTTTTGTTGTTGTTGTTTTTTTTGACAGTTTTGACCATAGCTGTAAGTTCTGTGAGCAAAGGTGTGTACAATAAAGACATGAAATATTAATGGAAATTCCAATAAGCAGGCAAACAATAGCAGGGGGATAAACATGTAGCATCTTAAAAGCAAGTTGACGATGTTGTCCTAGTTGGCCAGCCTTCAGCATCCTGAAAAAGTTTGCCTTCAGAAGGAAAACCACAGAAGTCAGCACCACCAGAAGCTTTCCCTCAGCTGTGTCACATTTACATTATTGCAAGGAACCAGGTGACTGGATTCAAGGAATCCAAATTGGGAAGGGGCATGAGCTTAATGTTGGGAGTCTGGTCACTCACGACTTAGACTGTGTAGCTTTCTGTTGATTTTGAATAGCAGTTTTCTTTCTGCTAAAAAGTAAATAAACAAGAATCATGTTCCCAATCCACTGAACTACCATTTGTCACTAATGGTCTATGCTACTTACTGTTGCACGTGCCAGCTACTGTCACAGTGTAAGCTGCAGAGAAATCACAGGTGATCCGTTAGCTAACATACCATGTTAGACATGGTGTGTCTTCAAGGACTTCACCTCTTTCTTTGAACACTGTTATTTACACTAGATACAGTGAAAATAGAATGACTCTATTAATTTACACATGGTGGTAAGAACATTTTGTATATGTAAATATTATGCAATGTTTTAAAGAGATGCACACTGTTCTTTAAAAGACAAGAGAGTGTAGGCACCAGTCTTACACAAAATCTCACAGTTTTTCTTTTTAAAAAATATTAAATTCAAGTATTTGGATAAATGAAAAAGACAAAATGAACTGAAAGTATTCATATTGAACCCAAAATTGTAACTAACATAAGTATTTGCATGAAAAAACTCTCATCACCTTGTTTTTTTCTGGGTGGAGGCCATTCTAGAGTGTTTCTAAATTTCCTCACTACAGATTTTTAACTTTAATGTTTGTTTGTTGAGATGGGCTCTCTGTCTCTCTCTCTGCATCTCAGGCTATGATAGAACTCACTAGACAACTCAGGCAGTCCTTGAACTAGTGGTAATCCTCCTGCCTCAGCTTTCAAGTGCTGGGGTTACCAGTATGCACCACTGCACCCAGCTAGAACATTCAACTTAAAGTAATTAATGAGCACAAATGTCTAAAGTGATTATTTTAAAAAAGCTCCTGTTCATATAACAGTGTCTTCCTGAACTGAAGACTGTGACCTTGACTTTGACACTGCCTAAGTTGTGACAGAACCCTGACTGCTGGGTAAGCAGGGCAATAGAAGCACTGTGACCTTGACTTTGACACTGCCTAAGACAGAACCCTGGCTGCTGGGTAAGCAGGGCAATAGAAGCAAGGACTATAAAGAGAAACTGGCTTTTTGTGTTTATGAGTGTCCTCAGGGTGATTCCCACTAGCAGGCGAACTAGCTCTGCCTATAAATATAGTAATGATAGCCCATGTCTAGAATACGACACCCCAGTTGGATGAATAGCCCATTTGTGGTCCTCTGGCGGGGACATTTGATACTTGCTTACTAGAGATATCTACCTCATAATTCAAATATCTTATCCACTACCCACAGCAATAAAATACACAGATGATTGTAAGATCACGAAGAATAAAAAACTTTGGCTTGTTAATTTCTCAGAGCTCATAAATAGCAGGCACATACCAAATATTGAGAAATGGTAGACATTCCCACATAGTTTTCTTCAGCGTAATTTTCTTTTATCCTGAGTCTTAAATGATACACAGATTGTAATGACTTAAATAACTGGCAAACAAAAGAAGAAAGTAATGATTGGAAAGGACAAGTTAGAATTTCCTTTCTCTAAATACATCCCTTAGCTTCCAGGTTAACCAGCGGGAAACATAGTAGCCCTTGCTCTATAGTGCACTCCCGGGATGTGAGTTCAGGACTACTGACATGGACCACAGAGGTGGGATCACTGAAGAAATTCAGCAACTAATCAGAAGTCAGGCTTGTTTCTCTCCAAAGCAGTGATAATCATTACGTTTTGAAAACTTGTTTACTCTCAAGCGTGGTGTATTTATAGACAAACTCTTCAGGAAGCTGAAGAAGTTCTTTCTAATTTACTGAGTACTAGTGAGGAGATGGATGCTGAGTGCACCCATTAAATCTCCTGGAACAGAATGCCTCCGTGTACTTGCTGATGCGTGCCTAAGAATTAACAGACAGTCAACTTGGTAACATTGGGTGTTTACAGTGAGTTTCCTGTCCACATGGTTTCAGAAATATTTCTTCTACAGCAATCCTAATTATGCTTGTTTCTTTATGTTTCCAAAGCAAACAGGCAATCCATTACTTCAGCCTAGTAACCTTTCCTTTTAAGTACAAGACATTAACTTTCTTAAGCAGCTTAACCAGCCCTTTCTGTGGGAGCTGCTCACTTGAAGAATGGAAGCAATCATTTTGGAATGATAGATTCAGATCATCCACTTGAACGTACAAAGAGTAATGTCTTTATAGATGAAAATTTAGTTTTTATAGCTAAAATGTACAATATTAATTGAAATGTATGCTCAATTATGTCTAAGAATGAAACTAGAAACCCATTGACTGTGTTTGTCACTGAGCAGTGAGGTCTGAATAGCAAGACCTCACCTTGGAGATAGGACATAGCAGGGACAAGTTGAAATAAATTACTGGAAAATTTTTTAAAGTTTTGAATAGCAATAAGCATAAATGTTGGGGAAATTATGAGCCTGCCTTCAGCATTTGAAGTTTTTTGATATTCTTTAAGTTACTATAAGCAAGCCAGAATAAATAATAATTACCTATCCACAAATGAAAGGCTTATGATTAGCTTACATATTAAGCCAAAGAAGGCAGTCTATGGTTTTTACAACATTTCACTTCCTGAATTGATGCATGCAATTGAACTTAATTTAAAAATGTGTGACTTAATTTTAAGATGTATTCCACTCTCTTCCACCATGATGATAGAGCATTAGGTGTGACTCTAAAATCCTGCTATACTAATATACTATTAAAAACATTTGAAAGGAACAGGTACTTATTTTTAAACACTTTATGTGAGAGTAATAATTAATTTTCATGCATTCTGGAGTATCTGCTTGGCATGATAACCACTAGCTACATTTGTCTGTTGAATGCTTGAAATGTACCTAGTACAAATGAAGAACTGAATTGCTTATTTTAATTAACTTTGAATTTTAACAAAGGCAAACTATGTTACTTAAAAACTTTGAGTGTACCCATGAAATTTAAGCTGTTGATTCTATTTGTCCATGATCAAATTAAATGCATCAAATATTTCTAATGAAACTAACTGTATAACTTCAAGTGGGCTACATATGTAAGGAAACATACTAGGTTTCAGAATTACTATGGGGGAGAAGAATGGAGGTTTCTTAATCATTTCATATTGATTACATATGTGCCTTACATTATGGTGCTTTGTGGAGATTGCTAGCTTTGAAAAGTCATGTCTTAAGTTGTTTGCAATGCTATTTCATTTTCGTTATGATGAGAAAAGCAAATGGGGTTTAGTGTTTACCCACCAAGAAGGAAAGCCATTGCCCAGTCTGTACCTGCTCCTTCCTCTGAGTGGCAAAGCTGTCAATAGCTCCAAATGCAAATCATAGACACAAATTTGCAGGAATGCTGCGCAGCGCTCTGATGAGAGCACCATCAAATCAAACCACACAGGCCCTACCATCTGGCTTTAGTCCCCGCCCCCAACTGTCTCCAGATCCATTAGTCTATAACCCTAACCTGACTTTCTGCTTCCTCCCAAGTTTTGCTTGACTATGGCTTCTGGTGTGGAGTGGTGAGCTGGGCGCTGCAATGGGCTGTCATGTGTTGATGCTCGACTTTGTCCAGGCCCGAGAGCTCTCGTCCTTGAGAGTGGAGAGCTTTCTCTGGGAGAAGGATTCAAACCCTAGAAGTTTGAACACCGCCACCCGGTACTTCTTGGACATGATGTTGTACAGAATGGGGTTGATGGCAGCACTGAGGTAGAAGAGGACGAATGACACGAGGTTGCAGTACTGGCTGATCTGAGCAATCTCCAGAGAGCCGGGCTCGAAGGACTTGGAAAACAGGTATCTTCCCACATGGAAGGGCAGCCAGCACAGGATGAACGCGAACACCACCACAGCTGAAGGCACAGAGGAGAGAGACTGTCAGCATGAGGCATGCGTGTCACAAGTCATGTTACAGTTTTAAGTCTTGCTTTGCTTCTTCCTTCAGTGGCATGGCCCCTGACAAGCATCACGTATTGCTCTTAACATGGGAAACATGATGTCCTGCTCTTCATATAAATATTGCTCTGCCCCCATCTATCCTCACACCTTTGCATGCAGGGAGTCTGCCAGACCAACCGCTGAGCAATCTTCACCCATCTTCCCAGTCTTCCTACTTCATAACTACTCGACTTTGTGGTTGACTTGATATAATTGCTCAACTAAACAACTGATTAATGATCATCCTTCCGATTATATGCATCACACAGAACAGAAATATAAATGAGGCAAGGTGTTTGTACTCAATCACAGTAGTGGGTCAGAATTCCCAGGGGAGTTGGGGTTAATTTAGGCATGCCCGGTAAGCACTCAACCACTAAGCAACCCTCTTGGACATGCTTAAGAAATGCAGATTCCTTGCTTAGAATATAGACTCATTAAATTAAATTATCTAGGGAAGGGAAAGGGGGAAACACTCTCTTTTTCTTTTCCTTTCTTCCCCTTTTTAGGATGAGGTTCTGTTATGTTTCGTGAACTACTGTTCCCAAATTTTTAGAGTAAGTTTTACAAGGGACTGAATATGCAATTAGGATTAGTAGACACCAAGAAAACAATTCTGTATCATCTCTAATAGATATAAATAAATTGTAAGCCAGTTGACATTAGGTACCACCCATTCAAAGCTTCATTTTACACATTTGAAATTCTTTCTCCGAGGATTCTAGATTTTTAGATTAAGTTTTGAAAATTTAGGAAGAGGGAAAATAATGTTCTGAAGCCTGTACTGCTTTACTGACCCCTTTCAGCCTGTCATGGGAGAAGACAATGGACATTGGTATGGAGATGTCAGTGACAAATGTAGTAGCTTACAGAATTAGAGAGAATCAATAACTTCTCTTTAGTAGTAAGTCACATCCAAGAGCTGACATGTCACAGCAGCACTGTGGCCCTCTCTCTGGTGAGTGCGAACTTACAGTCCCATGGAGGATACAGGAGGCTTACTGACACTCTATCCCTCCTATCTTCTGGCAAACAAAATTTGACATCCCTGGGGAAATCTCTATCAATTTGATATGCAGAATTTGAGTATAATAAAATTGCAAATAGGAAATCCTGAAAAAATTAAGAAGTTTTAAAAGCTAATAGACATGACATGTCTTGAGAAAGTGTGATCAGATGTTCCTCTTGGATATACATGATCATGGTCTTCCTGACTTCATTGCTGCAAGTCCATGCCTTTAAGGAGGTGGACTCGATGCAGTGACCATTTGGAACACCAAGCTGGGACCCTGTACCCAGAGGTTCTTGAACTACTACTTGAGGTATGCTGGTGGAGAGACAGGTAATCACAACCAGAGGAGGCTCCAGCATGCCCCCTTACATAGCCTTACATAGGCTGAATGAACAGAGTTGCCGTGATTGACTGAGAAAGATGCAGGGCAGCAAACAAAACCCCACACTGGAAGCCAACCAAATAGATCCATAAGCAGTCTTCAACAGAGTGATCCAACGCTGGTTAAATTTATCACGGAGCAATTTCTAAATCCAATCCCTGCCTGCTTGTCATAACGTTACTTTGATAGCCACAAATTCTATGTGAGGCAGGGAGCTGAACCTTGCCTTTCAACACTTAGGGACCTCAAACAACAAAAACAACAACAAAATGAAATGAGGTATTTCCATCTTGAAGCAAGTTTCCCGAGTAATGTTCATTTTAAGGAATTGCCAATGTGAGAAGCTTTTTCGTGGAGAAGAGAAGATATAGGAAGAGACAGATGAAGAAAGAGGAAAGCAGTAACTGAGACCAAGAACTGGGAGGGAGAAGGGGGCTTGCAGAGAGAGACTGGAGAGGCATGGGGACGCAGAGAGGGCGAGAAACAGAAAATAGAGAGGAAGCAGGGAGGAAGAAAGACCGCTTGGTGCAGGACTCACCAAGCATCTTCACCGTCTGCTTGTGGTTCTGGTCCCTGAGCGAAGCGCCCACCGCCGCGTCGCCGCGTCTCCGCCACAGCTTCCTCCCGATGAGACTGTAGAGCACGGTGAGGCAGAAGACCGGTAGGAAGAAGAAGACGCTGGACACCCACACCATGACGGTGAGCAGCCCGGAGCGCACCGCGAACTCGGTGGCGCGGCACTCGTTGGTGTCCCGAGGGTCGGTCCCGTTCTCGTGCTCCACGCCCACCAGCACGAAGATGGGCCCCGCGCTGCAGAAGGCCACGGCCCAGATGACAAGGATGACCAGCTTCACGCGGCCCTTGGTGACCACCACCTTGGCCCGCAGCGGGAAGCAGATGGCGAAGTAGCGCTCGACGCTCAGCGCGGTGATGGTGAGGACCGTGGCATAGGTGCAGCTCTCGCTGACAAACTGGAAGAGTTTGCAGAGCAGGTCGCCAAAGTTCCAGGGCCGGTACTGCCAGAGGCGGACGAGGTCCAGCGGCATGCACAGGAAGATGAGCAGGTCGGAGAAGGCCATGCTGGACAGGTAGAGGTTGGTAGTGGTGCGCAGCTCGCGGAAGCGGGACACCACCAGCATGGTGAGCAGGTTGCCCGAGATACCCACCACAAAGAGCGCCACGCAGGTGGCGGTGACGCCCGCCAGCAGCGGCGCGGGGAACAATGGCAGCAGCTCGTCCGTCAGAGAGTCATTGCCTGGGGAAGCGTCCCAGTCCAGGTCTCTAGTGACGTTAGGCTCCAGCTCCTCACTGAGCGTCGCGTTCCACATAGTGCTAAGCTTGGGGCTGCGACCGCGCGCGGAGATCTGTCTCCGGAGGAGGTCCCTTAAGCGCGGGAGAGTGCGAGGGAGAAACAGGCGCCGGTGGCGTGCCGGAAGGATGCTTGGAGAGGAAAGAGAAAGAGAAGTCTAGGGAGAAGGTAGATTGGGGAGGGAGGACTAGAGGTGAATGGCAGAAAATGACCCTCCCCACCTTTCCCACTTTCCTCCCCTCCCTCCATCTCTCCCTCTCTTCCTCCCTCGTCTCTCTTTTCTTCCCCTTCCCACTCTCTTCTCCACAGTCCTTGTCTCCCAAACCAGCCTCAGATCGCGCACACAGTCACTTACCTGTCACCCAAGCAGAGCCAGCAGCACTGTCTGGCATTGGAGAGCTCGCCCCAGCCGCATGTCGTACTGCCCACAGCGTCCGAGTGTGTGGGCTCCGCAGAAGGCAGGCGCTGCAAAGACAGGGTGTGAGGACTCCTCTCCCTAGCCTTGGGCGCTAGGGTGGCCGGGAAGGACAGGTCATTCGGGTAGAGTGAAGGGTGGCGGTGTAGGGAAGAAGGATGCCTTCAGCAGGGGGATGAAGCCCTTCCTCCACCGGGGGTCGAATTGGTTCCGCTCCTGGTGGGGAGAAAAAAAAGGAGCCTGCCTCTCGATGGAGAAAGAAGGGCAAAGAGAAAAACGGAAGCTATTTGCGTTCGAATCAGAAGAGACAATGCGCACCTGGGAATAGCTCTCACAGTCTTAGAGCACACCTTCGTGGTCGTCCGGATTTTAAAACCAGAAGCATGAATCCTAGTCTGAGGTCACAGAACGAGACCAGAACTGGTTCACTCCACAAGTGTGCAAAAAAAAAAAAAAATCCGGTCCTCAATCCCAGCCCCGTGAGTGGGTGTGGGGAAAGGGCTTGCTGGATGAGCATGGGTATCACTTTACCAGCTGTAAACCAAGGGCGTGACGGATTGCCACAAAGCACGGCCCAGGGGAAAGTCCGCGGCAAGTGCATGAGCAAGAAGCAGCCAGTGCTGCCAGGCTGGCGCTGCACGTCGAGGATGCGCAGTAAACTTTTGGTTTTCAAAAGCATCAATTGGAGAGATTAGCTATTTACAAGCTTTTTTATTTCTGGAGGATCTCTAATCCTTTAGTTTGATGTTATCTCTTTGTAAAATTATAGACAACGTGAGGATCATTGTGGGTGGGAGCCAAGCTTTAGAGATACATGAACCATTCATTCAATAAGTTAGTAAGGGCTGCGTGGCTTCGTGGTTGCTGGAGGGGGCAGGGGGATCTTATCCGGTGGGAATGGATCTCAGGGAATCCCTATAGTATGAAGGGTCTTCTGAGAAAGGTCCGTTCATCTGCTGTCCAGATCTGGGAACTCACACCTAAAAATTTTTGAGAAGACGTTTGAAAGCATAGAAACCCCTCTGGTTGCTTCCCATGCTCTAACCGGAGCCTTTTCAGCACCTCGGCCAGCTCCCAGACCCACCTTTCTGTGCCCAGAAGCCTGAAGCCTTTCCCAACAACTCAGCCCTGGAGCCTCCCTGAGGAGGAAGGGAAGCCACCCACCAAAATACAGCGTTCCTCTACTCCTGGATAAAATAATTCATTAACTACAACTGAGAGACACATGTCTTTGCTAGATGGCTTACCTAGTCTTCTCTTATTACCTAAATTGTTAGCTCACAGGTTCATAAGACAAGAAACCATATGTGTGCACATGTTCACAAGAGAGTCACAATGAAAGAGAGGCTGTGTGGGAGAAGTTTGACTCACAGGCCTGTGAATGCACTACATTATGGCTTAGTGTCACTGTTGAATTACAGAATTTAGACCAAACTGACTTAGAAATGATCTAACATATTGACAAATCCAGAGCCAACAAGATAGCTCAGCAAGTAAAAGAGCTTGCCTCCAAACTTGATGAGCAGTGTTCCAGCCTCGGAACCCATATGATGGTGAATGAACAGACTGTGACAAGTTATCCTGTGACACCCACATGTGTATGTGAGCAACTCCACGTGATACCTAAATAATAAATAAATAAATACAGGTTTTTATTGAAATTGATCCATTTCTTCACAATGATAACCTAAATAACACTGTCTTTAGATGCATATCAAACATTGCTAATAACAAAATAGATACAACCCATGCAGTTTTCAGTACGTATAAACTTCTAATCTAGAAATGAAAACACAGGCAATCCATCCAAGTACAGTATTGAAAGGTGGGTTCAAGAGGCATCTACAGAGAGCTTGTAATAAAACAATCATGTTACACCATGCTTGAGAAAAGACTTCTCAGAGAATTAGGCAAAGGAATGGATCTTGAAGAGGCTGGGTTCTTTCAGAACAGCAAAACTTGCTTGACTGTTCAGAAAAAGGGCCCAAAGTGGGTTGGACCCCAAACAGTAGCCCATGCTGTTGTGTTGGGATGGGGAGAGGGTTGATGGTGTAGGCCATGGATCCCTATAGTCAAGGAGTAGTGAGAAATCAGAGATGATTTTCTTTTGACATGAGAGCTCACCCAGTGTGTTCTCCTTCACATTGGTCCAGAGTCTTTCTTACATGGCTCAAATTTTAAGAACTGTGTTGTGCTGTGGATCATCAGAAGTTGGGAGCTCACCATGTAAAATATTTACCCTAGATGGGAATAAAACAGTTCTCAAAAACTCTTTGGTACTTGTAGTGGAGGGTGGAATTTGGGGAAAACTCTATTTGGGTGGGGGGAGTCATTTCTATTGCCCTGGAGCCTTATTAACTAGCACTTTCTGCAGAGAAGCATATGAATATATATGTCCCTGTGTGTGTGTTTCGTACTCTAGCCAGAAATGCAAAATCTTAAATGTAATCACAAGGAAGCACCAAACTCCAAATAAGAAATAATTGATTTAACAATTCCTCATAGGCTGTGCTATACAAGACAAAGTAAATCCTGGTGTTTCATAAGTAGTAGACACAAATAGTGCATGAGAGGAGCTGATCATTCTTGGCCATTGTTGTGAATCGGAAAATGCTCAGGATCCAAAGCCGCATGATGACTAAATGCTGCTCCTTGTTTGCAACAGAATCAAAACTACCTGGGAGGACATTCTTGTGCCAACTCACACTTAGATATGAGTGTTAAGAGAAGCTTTCCTTGAGAGGAGCCTTCCCACCTGCCTGGTTCCAGATCCGCATCAGTCCCAAATAAACACACAGGAGGCTATATTCATTATGAAGCTGTTGGCCTTGCTTGTTTCTAACTGGCTAGCTCTGACTTAACAATTACCCCATAATTGTTAATCTAAGTATGTCTCTTACCGGAGAGGTTTCCGGGCTTCCTACCCCAATGGCATTACATCTCGAACTCTTGTGTTTCTCCTTCCCAGAATCCTCCTGGATTCCTAGCCCCACCTATCTAGATTCCTATTGGCCAGACAGTCTTTATTGACAAATGCACAGGACTTCCCCAACATATGAGTAGTTGAATAGATAGAATTATTAGATTAGTATCAAGTTGCTGAGCTCAATAACTCTATGGAAAAGAATAACTTGACTCTTAGAGGTACACATTCATCTGTGATATAGGCAACTTACTCTCAATTGTTTAAGAAAACTATGTGTGCGCACACACTTGACCCCACACTTGCATGCATGCGTGCATGTGTGGGATGTTTCTATTTGTGAACAGATAGAACAAATGATAAGGCATAGAGCTAAAAATGTTAATGGCAACTGAATCTGGGCCTGGGGAGATGGCTCGGTGAGTGAGAGTGATTGCTCAGCAATTATGGAGACCTGAGTTTGAACCCCTAACATCCAAGAAGCCAAACACTTCTGCACATGTCTGTTACCCACCCCAGGTTTGGGGGATGGAAATGGGCAGCTCTCAAGAGCTCACTAACCAGCAAGCCTCTTATAAAAGGCAAGCTTGCAGTACATTGAGAGACCTTGTCACAAGGAAATAAGGCAGACATCCTGCTCGGGCTCGGGTCTGCACATTCTCATACAGAGACATGCGCACAAATCTGCACACTCAGATGACTATACCACAAAACATACAATACACTCCCCCCCCACACACACAGAGTAGTTTACTCTGGAAAATGGTAGTATTAATTTTTCTTATAACTTTTCTATATTTAAATAAGAGGTGTGAATGCCATATTTTTGTGTTTTTTTAGACACTCACAATTCAATTTTCAATTAGATATTTACCTTCTTTGATTTTTGTATTTACATTCAACAACTTGGTCTCTAACAACATAAACATAATTATTTAACTTATTAATACAATACTCATTAATCTATTTCAATCTAAAATAACATTGAAATCACTGCTAATAAAATTGACAATGAAGCTTGGCATTTTATTGCAATTCCCTTTTGTCCTTATAATATACCCCATGTGTGTACAATTACTGTGCTCTAAGGTTACATGGGTTAATACTTTGGCATGTGTTTTCAATCACCTTGCCAACTTAGTGTATGATGCAGCTTCTAGTTACCTTCAAGTTTTGTAGTTATTTTTAACTTTGCATTCGAATACTTAGCACACTTATACATTCAGGAGAATGTTTAAATTAGTTACTCATTTATCTTGTGTGTATGGGTGTTTTACTTGCTTGTATGTGTGTCTGTGCAGCACATGCCTGCAATGCCCATGGAGGCCAGAAGAGGGAGTGAGATACCCTGGAACTGGAGCTAGAGATCGCAATGAGCCACCTTGTGAATTCTGTGACTAGAGATGTGTCCTCTGGAAGGGACCCATAACTGATGAACAATTTCTCCAACCTCTTAACTGGATCTGTAACTGTAGCATGATTTAAATGTGAAATTCTAAAATAAAGCATGTCCAGGAACAGGTGTTGGTGGCACAGGCCTTTAATCCCAGCACTTGAGAGGAAGAGGCAGGAGGATCTCTGCAAGTTCAAGGTCAGCCTAGTCTACAGAGTGAGTTCCAGGACAGCCTCAAAGCTACAAAGAATGCCAGGCGGTGGTGGCGCACGCCTTTAATCTCAGCACTCGGGAGGCCTCTGCAGCAGGTGGATCTCTGTGAGTTCGAGACCAAGCCTGGTCTACCGAGCGAGTTACAGGACAAGCTCCAAAACAATACAGAGA